GATGAAGGGTCTAGGCCCGAAACGTCAGCCTTTCTGCTCCTATGATGTTGCTTGGCCTGCTGTGTTCATCCAGCCCTGCACCTTGTTGTCACAGATACAATGCTGCCTCAGTTTTGGTGCAATATTCCAGATGTTCCTGTAGTTCAACGGTTAGTGTGTCTTCTCTACAGGATGTGCTGGTGGAATTATTGGAGAAGTGTGCAGACGGACTGTGGAACGCTGAGCGCTATGAGTTAATGGCAGTGATTTACAAGTTCATCATTCCTATCTATGAAAAACGGAGGGACTTTGAGGTAAGTTCCTGCAGCTCAACCTGGAGAGCTGAACACAGCAGAGTTTCCACCTGTCATTCCAAACCACCAGAGGATTGTTTTCAGAACCTTGTGACAAAACCCATTTCTCGAACGACAGGTTTGGACCCACCATTGTAATAGTGGTCCTTGTATCAATTCAGGACAAACCAGGACCCTTGCACAGCCAAACCCTGGGGCCAGTACTGTTGTCTTGATTTTTAACTAATCAGCTGCTGGAGGCTAAGCATGGACTTTTATAATCATTTTATTCGGTGATGCAAAAAGTAATCTCCTCCAGTTATTAAACGTCCAAAGGTTAAAAGGCCCACATCTGTTCACTGAGACAAGTCCTGTTCTGAAGATCGATGCGAGGACCCTTAATTTTCACTCTCTTACCCCTTAGACCATCCCTTTTTCCTCTCCAATACCCCATCTCAATCTCTTAAGCCTTTCATTTTATACCTTTCACCCAACAAAACATGCCACACCGTAATCCACTATAAACAGATCTGTCGGGATCTATAATCACATCTGGCCATCTTTTGAAAAGTGTATAAATCATCAGAATAGAAAAAACATTACCTGATATCTATTTTTTTTAAAAATCCTCTGAAAACCTCACAAAACTGTCAAGGTCACATTCCTGTTGATAGCTGTGCTAACAGCCCCTGCTGAGCAGAATCCATTCATGGCTTGGAAGGCCATTTGTAATGACATTTCACTGAACTACTGCCTTAGGTAACCCTCCTGAGTACAATCTGTCAGAGCCTTTGAACACAGCAATATCTCTGCTATCTGTTAAAACTTTGAAGGAGCCAATCAGATGGCTGAGACAGGCGTAAAGGACCAAATTAAAACAATGTCAACAGTTCGTGCAATCTCATTATAAATCTTTAAAATTCTGACAGGACTAGACAGGGCAAATGCAGGAAGGAAGTTTGCGATGACTGGAGAGTCCAGAACTAGGGATCACAGTTTAAGGACATGAGATAGCCCATTTAAGACCACGATGAGAATTTTATTAACCTAGACAGCAGCAAGTTTGTGGAATTTTCTGCCACAGAAATCAGTTGAGGCCAAAATATTGCACGTTTTTAAGGAGGAGTTAGATTAGTTCTTACGGCTAAAGAGATCAAAGGGTATGGCGTGAAACTGGGACCAGGGGACTGAGTTGGATGATCAACCATGATCATATTGAACATTGGTGCATAATGACCTGCTCCTGCTCCTTTTTTTTTACGTTTCTATGAAAAATATTATTCTTTCAAAATGCTAACTTTCCCTTAACAGCTTGGCAACCAAATTATTTACTGATCACTTAACTTCTCAAAACAAAAGCATTATAATTAATCACTGTACCAAGAACAGATATAACATCTGCTGCAGTATTTTGTTATGATCTGAAGTGTGCAAACATTTTGTTCTTGTCTTTATTACCTTCATGCCATAGTGATGGCACCTCTGTACTGGTGTAATTCAAATTGCCAAGCAAAACTACTTGACTCAATCAAAATTGAAATATGTCTAGAATAACCACTTATGTAACTGTGCTGGCAAAATTGGGACATTAGTGTGCAGCCTCCCACCCGATCCCTAATAACGGAATTTAGACTCTATAGCCTTGTGTTGGCTTCAATTTATAAATCTCCTGCCCAGTGTCTTGTATCAACTTGTTCTTAATTTCTTTTTCCTTTGTACTCTAGAAACTTGCTTTCATTTATAACACACTGAATGAAGCTTATAAGAAAATAATTCATGTCCTTCACACGGGGCGAAGACTGCTGGGAACATTTTTCCGTGTTGCTTTTTACGGTCAGGTGAGTGACATGTTGCAGGAAGAATGGGATTCCACTCAATTGAGGGAATTTTCTCAAACTCGGGATGTGACACAACAACAGCTTGTGTTCATTTAGCACCTTTTTATGCATTAGAACTTGCAAAAGTGTTTCACAGGACAACATCTGGCACCAAGCCACAAGTTCAGGCAGATGGCCAGAGCTTAGTTAAAGTGGCAGGGTTTTAAGGGGGCTCCTACAGGGGGAGAGCAAGGGGAGCAATTTTAAGGAGGGAATTCCTGAGCATAATGCCCAAACTACAGCAGTGAGAATGCAATTTCAGAGTTTAGGTCCCAAACAAAAAGTCAGAGCCAACAGCAACGGACTGATTAAAATTGTGAATACTGAAGCGGCTGTAGTTAGAAGAAGGCAAATATCTCAAAGGACAGTGGGGGCTGGAGCAGATTGCAGAGAGAGAGGGAGGAGTGAGACCATAGAGAAACATGTAAGCAGTTTTAAAAATCAAGGCTTGTTTAATGGCCAGGAACCAGGATATGTCAGTGAGCACTACAGCCATTGAAATACATTTGAAATGGAGCAGTTAATTGCACAGCACAAACAGCAGTGTAATAATGAGCAGGTATTCTGATTTTGTAAATTTAATAGAGGATTAAATATTGAACTAGATACCCAGCGAACTTCCTTACTGTTCTTTAAATAGTTCCTTGCAGTTTTGGTATCTACTTGAAAGGACTGACAGATCTGAGTTTTATGAATTATCCTCAGGGTGGCACGTACAGCAGTGCCGCGTTTCTTCAGTATTGCATTGTTGGGTCAACTTAGTTTCTGTGTCAGCAACGCTCTGGAGAGGAAATTGATCCTATATCCCTCGAGGCTGTGGCTGACGTTGCAAGTAGATATCTCATCCATGTACAGAGCACCTACAGCAGTAGAAAATGTTCAGTCTGGGTATTACTTTCTCCAGTACCTTGCTGTGTAGGTGTCCTTGTGGATTCATCTTTCTGCAATGTTCAGTTAGTGAATGAGTGCCAATGTGTAACATTCACAGGTGTCTCTTACACTATTGTTTATCTCTGCTGCGGATGAAAATGTTAAATGCGTTCACTATTGTATTCGTTATTCGGACACATGTCAACATATGGGATGTGTCCATTGCTAATTAGATATAGAAGTCAAGAAAGATGCAGAGTCATTCACATAACTAGTGGGAGCAGGAATGGCTCAGACACTCGTTTCTGGTCTTTTACAATAATTCCCATGCCTCTTGATTCCTTTAGTGTCCAGAGCAGAAAATTCTAAAGATTTCAACACTCTGAGTGAAAAGATTTCTCCTTATCTCATTCCTAAAGAAATGATCCTTTACCCTGAGACTTTCACCCTTATTTCTAGACTGTTGAGCCAGGGGAAAGCACATCTTAGCCTGTAGCCTGTTGAGTTATCAATGAATGTTTTATGTTTTAGACATCATCTTTCTTTCCTTCTAAATGCCAGAGAATTAAGGACTTTTGTACTTATTCTTCCATCAAAGGTCAATCGTCTTACCCTGGCAATTAGATTATTGAACCTTCATTTTACCCTCTCTGAGACAAGTATGCATTTCCTTACAGTAAGGGTTCATGTGGTACAGTGGAGCCAGGAGACCCATGTTCAAGTTCCAAGGTGTATCACAGCATCTCTGACCAGGTTGTTTCGAAAATATCTATACCTCCTGAGACAAGGAAATCACATCTGTACAGGGTACTCTGGATGCAGTCTCACCAATACCCTATATATATAATTGCAACATGACCTCCTTGCTGTTACATTCAGAACCTCTTGGATTGAAGGGCAACATGCCATTTACCTTCCTAATTGCTTGTTACACCTGCATGTTAAAATTCAGGAAACCATTTACTCCGGTTGGTGAATCAAGAACAAGGAGAGAAAATGTTAAAACTAGAGATGGGGCACTGGGGATGGAAATCCAGAAGCATTTCAGTCCACAACGGGTAGCAGAAATTCTGAATTTGCTTATGAAATGCACTGTTAATGGTGGGAGTTTTGCTGGAATGCTATTTTTAAGATCTGGTGTTTGCATAATTTGTTACAAGACTTGGCTTAATTACAGACACTGATTGGCGAGTCAAGGGGAGTTCCAGCTCAGACTAGCTACAAAACCACAAGCATATAGAGGTCTTGCAACAGGCTTCACAGATTTTACTAAATTTTCCACAATAAGTACAAAACCATACATTTAGCAAAAGGTGGTGGTCAGCAATGGCGTTCCTGTTGGAACACCAATCCTCTACCTTGAGTGATGGGGTGTGGGTGTTGCTGGCTAGACCAGCATTTATTATTGTCCAACCTTAATAGACCAACAGGCAGTTAAGATTCAATACATTGCTGTGGGTCTGGTGTCACTTGTAGGCCAGATTAGGTAAGGATGGCTGGTTTCTCTCCCTAAGGGACATGAGTGAACCAAATAGACTTCTACAGCAATTGACGGTATTTATCATTAGGTTAGCTTTTTATTCCAGATTTTTATCAAATTCAAATTTCACCATCTGCTGCAGTGGAACTCAAACCCATCTCCCCAAAACTTTAAAATGAAAGAAAGATACTGTGAATGCTGAAAATCTGAAATTGAAACAGAGAGTGTTGGAGAACCTCAGCAGGTCTGGCAGCACCTCTTGGGAGAGAGAAACAGTCCAGGGTATTCTTCAGCATTTTCCACTTTTTACTCCCCAAAACAATAGCCTGAGGGTCTGAATTACTAATCCAGTGACACTTATCACCTCCTGAGTCTATCTTCTGTTCTGTACTCCTGTAGAAGTGGAAGGTAATGGAGACAGGTTCAAGACAGAAATTAATATGTTTTTGAAGACTAGAAATATTCCGGGAAATGGAAATACTGGGAGAAAGTGGGGCATTGAGGTAGATGATCAGCTACCTCAGGTTTGATGGATTTAACATGTTCCCAAGTTCTCCTCCTCTTCATGTTGATGCGTTCTTAGCACCAAACAAATTCTCATTTATTCACTGTAACCCTGTTTCTGTCCATCTGAATGGTCAGCCATTACCTTATTTGCCACTCTCTGACAGAATCTTGAGCCTGGTTCAGGTCATTATCATTCCAAGGTACTCCATATTCAGGCTTCCTTGCTGCTTATTCCATGTGGTGGCATAGTGGTAACGTCCCTGGAGTAGCTAATGTTCTGGCAACAAGAGATCGAATTCCAATCATGTAGCTGATGAAACCTGAATCCAGTAAAATGTCTGAAATTAAAAGACTGGCGATCATCTGGATTGTCAGAAAAACCCATCTGGTTCACTCATTTCCTTCCTAATCGTAAAAGATATCCGCCGTCCTTACTGAATCTGGCCTATACGTGACTCCAAACCCACAGCAATGAAGTTGACTCTTAACCATCCTCTGAAATGCCTTAAAGAGCCATTCAGTTCAAGGGTAGTTAGGGATGGATGAGCAACAAATGCTAGCCTTGCCAGCGGTGCCCATATCCCATATAACAATTTAAAAAAACCATGACTACTCAATGAAATTGATGCATGTTTGTTCCGTTTCACATCTGTTTAGCTAGACATAACTAACGGTGAACAGGCTAACAGCCTCACTGAGTTTATCCATATTGTAACCGTTTTACATTGTCTATGTTCATCCTTTGCATCGTTAATCAATATGTCCCAATTTGTACAAAATTCTAGCTAATTGCCTTATTGATAATGCTTCTGTGGTAATGTTTCACATAAAATACAATTTTACTCAAGGTACTGAAGGAGATGACAATGAAATTTTAATAGTGCTGTTAATAAAGCAAATGCAATCCAATGGTATCTTCACAATGGGATGTTGTTTTTCCATCGCACTCGATCATCATTCTTTCCAAACTGCAAGCTCTCAATCTTATTGCATGTTTTTGTAACAGAGCTTCTTTGAAGAGGAAGATGGAAAAGAATACATCTACAAGGAACCCAAGCTAACCAGGCTGTCTGAAATATCGGAAAGACTCCTTAAACTTTACGGTGACAAGTTTGGAGCTGAGAATGTGAAAATCCTCCAGGATTCGAACAAGGTCAGCTATATTCTACTGTCTCTTTTTCAGGGGATTGAGGTGCACCATCTCATCAGCCAGGATGTATCCTTCCTGCCTCTTATCGACATCTCTGAACATTTTCTGCTTCATGTATTATACTGTTTATTGCATACAATGTGTGTGCTGTCCAAACAGTTGGCTCATAACTTGTCTAATTATACTTCTTAATTTAATCTGTTCTATTACTTACTTATTGCGGTAAAACAGACAAAAACCTTCTCTTTCCCTTTCATGTGTAATATTCCAACTTGTTGATTCAGTGGCATGTTTTATTGTTGTCAACTTTGCGATTTCTGTGCATCAGGTATTTTGTGTTAATAGCTATAAAAACTGCAGATTGTCATCCCCGTGGGTACATCTCCCTCCACGTTCTTTATCTCAGAGATGTAATAGTAACCCATGAAAGCAAGGGGAAACGAGGAAGCTTGGCTGAAGATTGAGGCAGAAAGTGCCCCAGGTCACCACTTCTTCTCCCCCACCCTCGCCACTGGCACTCATGGATAACATGATGCTCGGAAAACTCTTCTATCTTCCATATTTCCCAGGAGGAATTCTAGGTCTCCTTTCCAAAAGATCTTGCATAGGTTTTGCAAGATGCTGTCCCATCAAAATGTGCAGCGGGTGTTGCTGGTCTGTGACCACCTCATGGGCTCAGGTAAGAGGCACTGCAGAGGAGGGTGGGTGATGCCCTGAGAGGGTCAAATATACTGGGTCGGGGGCAGGGGGTAGTGTCTGTAACCCTTCCTTATTGACAGTGAGTGTTCTGAATAAAAGCTGAAATATTTAAGCAGGGGCTCACCACTTCTGAACCACAATTTCCTGGCAGTCTGTGCTGAACGTAGTTACCCCCAAATTCAGCCTGGAACCTCCTGCTGGTGAACTATGTAATCTTGAAACATTAATAAGCCCCACCTGCCCCCTCCAGTGGATGTAAAAGATCCCGTGATGTTTCTCAGGAGAAAAGCGGTGGGTTCTGTCCAGGGCCTGATCCAACATTCACTCCTCAAACACAAATGTCGAAAGAACAGAGGGTTCAGGGCATTATCACATTGCTGTTTGTGGAACCTTGCTGTGCACCAAACAGGCTGCCACTTTCCCTCCAATACAGCAGGTAACAACAGGTATTTTATAAATCCATGTGCTCTCTCTGCCTAATCAGCGCTTGACATTTTCTGGTAATTTAACAGTACTCAGTAAATTTGAGGTGGCTTTATGGAAATTTGAAGTCTAGACATAAACCCAAGTGGGTACTGTTGACTGTAACTCTCCTGTTTGTTCTACATCAAGGTAAAAATTTCCATTGATGGTTCTGAGTGATAACTAACTTCATTTGTGAGTGGGCAGTACCAAATTTTTTGCCCACACAGTTTCCCTTTCATTCGAGGTGAATACACTGAGATATAAGTCATACCCAGCACAGGGATTAACAGGATGCTTCATGTAGAAATAGAATCCAGAAGCAGAGAAATTCTATTGAACTTGTTGAAGACATTTGATAGATCTCATTTGTTATACAATGGTCCTGATGATAAAAAAGATACACAGTACTGAAAAAGGTACAAACAAGACAGGTGGTACTGTGGCATGTGGAAGGCATGTTGACTCTATGGGCGACACGATGGCTCAATGGTTAGCACTGCTGCCTCACAGGATCAGGGACACAGATTCGATTCCATCCTCAGGCGACTGTCTGTGTGCAGTTCTCCCCATGTCTGCGTGGGTTGTCTCCAAGTGCTCCGGTTTCCTCCCACAGTCCAAAGATGAGCAGTTTAGGGCAGGTTGGCCATGCTAAATGGTCCATTGTGTCTAGGGGGTGTGTTGGCCATGGTAATATGTGAGGTTACGGGGATAGGGTATGGGCCTGGGGCTGGGTCTGGGCTGGGCTGGGCTGTGTGGGATGCTGTTTGGAGGGTTGGTGTGATCTCTGGGCTGAATGGCCTGTTTCCACACTGAAGTTTTGCAAGGGTGATACCAAAACTGAGAGGCTATCACTGTCAGGAAAAACTGAAGATTTCAAACACACAAAGTGGTGGAGAAAGTCAACAGGTCTTGCACGATTTGTGGAGAAAAAAACATAATTAACATTTTGAATCAAGTGTGACCATTCTCCAGAAGAGGTTTGGATCTATACGTACATGCACAGTTGCATTAACGCAGGGAATCCCAGGATTTTGACCCAGGTACAGTGAAGGCACGGTGATGTATTTCCAAGAATCAAATTAGCTAAAGACCACCATCTGTGATGCTGGGGTTCTCAGGAGGATGGATCATCCACTTAGAATCATAGAATTCCATACAGTGCGGAAGCAGGCCGTTTAGCCCATTGAGTCCACATCGACCCTCCAAAGAGCATCCAACCCAGACTTACACACCCCTCCCCCACCCTAACCTTGTAACCCTGCATTTCCCATGGCTAATCCATCTGGCCTACACATCCCCAGGCACTATAGGTAATTTAGCATGGCCAATCCACCTAACCTGCGCATCTTTAGACTGTAGGAGGAAACTGAAGCACCCAGAGGTAACCACACAAACACAGGGAGAACGTGCAAATTCCAAGGGTAGAATCGAACCCGGGTCCCTGGCGCTTTGAGGCTGCAGCGCTAACCACTGAGGCACCATGCTGTCCAACTTGTCACCTAGTTGAATATTATCGCCAGTGTTCAGCCTTGTCTTTTACACTGATGTGCTGGGCTCCCCCATCGTTAATGATGGAGATATTTGTGGACCTCCTTTTCCTGGTATTGTTTCATTCTCTACAAACATTCGCATCTTGATATGGCAGGATCCAGAGCTTGAGTCTGAACCAAATGGATGTGAAATCAATTAGTCCCGTCTGCTGTATGCTGTTGATACTCCTTGACACCAATATCATGTACACCATGTAGTCCAGTGACATAGTTTCACACCTCATTTTTAGGTCTGCCTGGTGCTGCTCCTGGCATGCCTTCCTGCACACTCCATTGAACCAGAGTTGATCTCCTGATTTAATGGCAAGGGAATGATGGGGGGATATGCTAAGGCTTGAGGCTATAGCTTGTTGTTGAATATAATTCTGCTGCTGATAATGATGCAGTGCCTGTTGGGTGCCAGTTTTGACTTTCTGTATCAGTTTGAAATCCGTCCCATTTGACACATTTGAAGTGCTGCCCAATATGGTGGTATCTGCATTGTGAGGACAGGACTTTGCATCCATAAGGAGTAATGGTCACTCGTCTCATCGGCAGATGCATCTGCAAGAGATAAATTGATGATGACTAGGCCCTATCTTGTTAGTTCCTTCACCATTTGCTTCAGGCCCAATCTCGACAGTGCGCCCTTCAGACTCGGCCAGCTTGAGCTATTGTTGATTACAGACATTGAAGACCCTCAAAAAAGCACATTCTGCATCGTTTTTCACCATCCATGCTTCTTCCAAGTGGTGGTCATAGTAGAGGATCTCTGATTCACAACCAAAGGGGCAGTAAAAGGTGGTAATTAGCAGGAGGTTTCCTTGCCTCAGCTTGACTTGCTGCAGTGAGACCCCTGGACGAGAGAATGTTGACCTAACAGATGTCGCTAAAATTAGCAACATTTGATAGGGTAAGCACAGAGAAATTCAAAACTAGGAGGCTTAAATGCAAGATAGTCATTAATCAATGCAACAGGAGAAATATCTGTACCTAAAATTTGATCACACTGTGGAGCTCACTGTTACGCTGAGTGGTTGAGATCAATAGCATTGACGTATTTAAGGAGAAGCATTCTCCAAACTCTATGCTTAACGCTGAGAGAGGCAGAGTCTAGTACACTATGGGAATCAAAGTATATATGAAAGGGTGAGAAAGTGGACTTGTTGTGAAGCCTAGGCACAGTCTTATTGAATAATGGAGGAGGTTATGATTGGCTTGCTTCTATTCTTACACAATCTGCATAGTTCTGTCAGCAATAAAACCTTAACTAATCTAAAGCTCTGTTTATTGAACCTCACAGATTTAATGAATACATGTATACCTTAGCAACGCAATGTGTTTTATCAGTGTAGCATTTCTGATCTCAGATAACAGTTTGAAAAACACGTTTGTGCAATAGCTGTAAATGAGGAGGTGACGTTATAGTCAATAGGCTCACTGGACCTAAAACGTTAACTCTTTTTTTTTTCTCTCCAAAGTTTATACAGAAATTCCTGTCTTTGTTTCAGATCTTCAACAAGTTCTTTGTTTTATAAAAAGTAAGGAGGCTATGCTTCAGTTATACTGGGCCTTGGTGAGACCAGAGTATTGTGTACAGTTTGGTCCACTTATTTAAGGAAAAATGTAAATACATTGGAGGCAGTTCAAAGGCTGTTTCCTGGAAGGATTGATACCTGGAAGGAATGGGGTGTCATATGATCGAAGGTTGGAAAGACTAGACTTGTATCAAATGGAGTTTAAGGGCAAAAGGTGATTCGATTGAAGTTCAGATCCTGAAATGATCTTGACAAGGCAGAGAATTTTTTTGTGAGCATTGTGTGACTTTGGACCTCTCTGCCTCAGGAGGCAATAATGGTGGGGTCATTGAATATATTTAAGACAGAGGTTGACAGATTTTTAATAGAAAGAGGAATCAAATGGTATTTGTAGGGGAGGTAGATGGAAATGTGAAATTTGAAGCACAAGCTGATCAGTCATGATCTTATTGAATGGCAGAATGGCCTACTCCTCATAGTTCACATGTTTACAATGAGGAAGATTACCTCAGAGTACAATGGGACCTTGATCAGATGGGCTGATGAGCTGAGAAGTGGCAGATGGAGTTTAATTCAGATAAATGTGATGTACTACATTTTTGAAAGGCAAATCAGGGCAGGACTTATACACTTAATGGTAGGGTCTTGGAAAGTGTTGTTGAACAAAGAGACCTTGGAGTGCCAGTTCATAGATCCTTGAAAGTAGAGTTCCAGTTAGACAGTATGGTGAAGAAGGTGTTTAGTATGTTTGCCTTTATTGGTCAGTGCATTGAATAAAGGAGTTGGGAGTTCATGCTGTGGCTGTACAGCACACTGGTTAGGCCACTTTTGGAATACTGCATTCAGTTCTGGTCTCCCTGCTGTAGGAAGGACGTTGTGAAACTTGCAACGGTTCAGAAAAGATTTACAAGGATATAGCCAGGGTTGGAGGGTTTGAGCTATAGGGAAAAGCTGAAGGGACTGGGACTGTTTTCCCTAGATCATTGCAGGCTGAGTGGTGACCTTAGAGAAGTTTATAAGATCATGAGTGGCATAGATAGGGTAAATAACCAAGGTCTTTTCCCCTAGAGGGCATAGGTTTAAGGTGAGAGGGGAAACATTTAAAAGGGATCTAAGGGGCAACTTTTTCACACAGAAGGTGGTGCGTGTATGGAATGAGCTGCCAGAGGAAGTGGTGGAGGTAATTACATTTACATTTAAATTACATATACATTTACAATTACATTTAAAAGGCATCTGGATGGGTATATACACAGGAAGGATTTAGAGGGATATGGGCCAAATGCTGGCAAATGGGACTAGATTAATTTAGAATATCTTGGTCGACATGGATAAGTTAGACTGAAGGGTCTCTTTCTGTGCTGTACATCTGTATGAGTCTATGAGCAGAGCTCTGAGATCATCACGGTCGACTGGGATATGTCTGGGTTTTTGTTTTGTTTTAGCATCTCCCTATTTTTATAAACCTCTGTTCAGTCGTTAAATTTTCTTTTACTTTTCAGGTAAATGCAAAAAACCTGGACCAGAAATTTGCATATATTCAGGTAACTTTTGTCAGCCCTTATTTTGATGAGAAAGAGCTGTCAGAGAGGAAAACCTATTTCGAGAGGAACCACAACATCACGCGATTTGTCTTTGAGACTCCATACACATTATCTGGGAAGAAGCAAGGAGGTGTTGAGGAGCAATGCAAAAGGCGAACAATTCTAACAAGTAAGGCCAGACTTATCCATGTAATTGACTAGCGATTCGCAGGAAAACAAACCTATTTAGGCTTAATGCATGCTTCAACGTTATAAATAAAGAAAAATTCAGAAATATTCCCACTGATCACCTTTCACAAAATTATGGAATGGCTGCAGCATAAACTAGGGCATTTGGTCCATTATGTCTGTGCCAGCTTCTGGAAGGAGCTATTCACCAAGTCTCACTCCTAGTCTCTCCACATTCTTCCTTTTTAGATAATGACCCAATTCCCTCTTGAACCTTGCTCCGCCCCACATCCAGACAGTGCATTCCAAATCTTAACCACCCACTTGGTGAAAAAAGTTTCTTCTCAAGTTGCCAATTGTTTCTTTCGCCAACTACATTAAATCCGTGTTCTCCACCTTTCCTCCATGGGAATGGTTTCTTTTTGTCGACTCTATCCAGAATCCTCATGATTTTAAAAACCCCAAACAGAACTCCTCACAATCTTCTTCAAAGAGATCAGTTCTGACTTCTCCTCTCTTAGATTTAGATTAGATTTATTGTCACGTACTGAAGTACAGGAGTACAGCGAAAAGTTTTCAATGTTGCCACACACGGCGCTATCTTAGGTATAAGTACCTAGGTACAAAAACTTCAGAACAAAGTGGAAAGAAATAAGGAGTAAAGTGAAAAGTTAAACATCACAGTCTGTCTATACAGATTAAAGCCCTCATCCCTAGAACCATTCATGTGAATTTTTTTTTCTGCACTCTATCTACTGTCTTCGCATTCTTTCTAAATTGTGGCACCCAGATCTGTTTGCAATACTCCACTTGAGGCTGAACCAGTGTTTCGTACATGTTCTAAGGCTCAGCCTAGTTTGATTGCAGATCACTGTTAATATGGATATTTCTCCAGTCCTATTAAGAGCTTGAGCACATAAATCAAATGAAAACAATGAGGCAAATGCTCAACCTGATTAGCATTTGTCTTGCTCCCTGCCTCACCCCGCTCTCAAAATCCCGAAGCATACAGTGAACACTGAAGCTTTTCTCTTGCCATTTCTCCTGCTATTGTACCCTGTTGAGTGCTCGATAACCTGTGCAGCTCCATTACAACTCAGCTGTTGATATTTAATCACCTCCAGCAATGCACTCCTTCCCGTACGTGAAGAAGAGGATTGCGGTTATGTACGAGCACCAGGTCGAACTGAAGCCCATTGACGTTGCCATCGACGAGATGAACGATCGCACGACCGAGTTGCGAAAGCTGTGCATGTCGAATGGCCTCGACATGATCCAACTACAGCTCAAACTCCAAGGCTGCGTTTCTGTACAGGTGAGAGCTGACTGGAATGGTGATTAGAACCCGAGACCTCCCTGACACTCTCTGATTGATCCAAACTCTCACTGCCTTTAGAAAGATGGAGAAACCCTGACCTGTTCCTATGGACCAAAGCTCCCAAGTTTATTCTGTAGAGCGCACATTAAAGCTCAAAGAGAAGTACATCCAGTGATAACTATGGCAACTTCTCTGTGTGTAGTCTGAGTCTCGTTGGTGCATCAGATGAAAAATTTTCCATCATGAAATGGTCATATTTTTAAGATTGTTTGAAGGGTCTTTTTAGTCTTTGTGCATCATGGTATAACCTCATTCTCATGGGAGAGAACATATCAAACCCTCAAAGCAGCCTTGGTTCAGTCTCCCCGGGCTTTTTGCTACAAGTGTGCCTGAACTCTGGGACCGTATTGTAACTTGGATTTAACCTTAATTGAAAAGCATTGATTACAGTGAAAGCAAAAATCCCTTCCTGACCAAATTGATGAACACAGAACAGTACAGCACAGTACAGGCCCTTCGGCCCACGATTTGTGCCAACCCTTTATCCTACTAAGATCAAAGTACCCTCCATTATACTCTCATCCATGTGCATATCCAAGAGTCACTTAAAAGTCTCTAAAGTATCTGACTCCACTACCACTGCCGGCAGTGCATTCCACACACCCACCGCTCTCTGTGTAAAGAATCTACCTCTGACATCTCCCCTATAGCTTTCTCCAATCACCTTAAAATTATGCCCGCTCATAATAGTCATTTCCACCCTGGGAAAAAGTCTCTGGCTATCCACTCTATCTATGCCTCTCGTCATCTTGTACACCTCTATCAAGTCACCTCTCATCCTTCTTCACTCCAATGAAAAATGCCCTAGCTCCCTCAACCTTTCCTCATAAGACCTGCCCTCCAGTCCAGGCAGCATCCTGGTAATTCTCCTCTGTACCCTCTCTAAAGCTTCTACATCCTTCCTATAATGAGATGACCAGAACTGAACACAATATTCCAAGTGTGGTCGAATCAGGGTTTTATAGAGCTGCAGCATAACCTCACAGCTCTTAAACTCAATTCCCCTGCCAATGAAAGCCAACACACCATACACCTTCTTTACAACCCTATCAACTTGGGTAGCAACTTTGAGGGATCTATGGATGTGGACCCCAAGATCCCTCTGTTCCTCCACACTGCCTAGAATCCTGCCATCAACCCTATATTCTGCATTCAAATTCGACCTTCCAAAATGAATCACTTCACAGTTTTCTGGGTTGAATTCCATCTGCCACTTTTTTTCCCAGCTCTGCATCCTGTCAATGTCCTATTGCAACCTATAACAGCCCTCCACGCTATCAACAACTCCACCAACCTTCGTGTCATCGGCAAACTTACTAACCCACCCTTCCACTTCCTCATCCAAGTTATTTACAAAGATCACAAAGTGCAGAGGTCCCAGAGCAGATCCCTTCAGAACACCACAGGTCACCAAGCTCCATCTGAATACTTTCCATCTACTACCACCCTCTGTCTTCTATAGGATAGCCAGTTTTGTATCCAGGCAGCCAAATTTCCCTGAATCCCATGCCTCCTTACTTTCTGAATGAGCCTATCATGGGGAACCTTATCAAATGCCTTGCTAAAATCCATACACACCACATTCACTGCTCTACCTTCATCAATGTGTTTTGTCACATCCTCAAAGAATTCAATAGGCTTGTGAGGCATGGCCTGCCACTCACAAAGCCATGCTGATTATTTCTAATCAAACTGTGCTTTTCCAAATAATCATAAATACTATCTCTCAGAATCCTCTCCAATAATTTGCCCACCACCGAAGTAAGACTGACTGGTCTGTAATTCCTAGGATTATCCCTATTCCCTTTCTTGACAAGAGAATGACATTTGCCACCCTCCAATCATCTGGTACTACTCGAGTGGACAGTGAGGACGCAAAGCTCATCACCAAAGGGGCAGCAATCTCTTCCCTCGCTTCCGCAGTAACCTTGGGTATATCTCGTCTGGCCCAGGGGACTGATCTATCTTCATGTTTTTCAAAATTTCTAGCACATCATCTGCCGGATTCATGCTGTCCTCACAAATGTCAAGGTCTCTCTCACTGGTGAATACTGTAGCAAAGTATTCATTAAGGACCTCCCTTACTTATCTGACTCCACGCACAATTTCCCTTCACTATCCCTGATTGGCCCTACCCTCACTCTGGCCATCCTCTTGTTCCTCACATAAGCATTGAATGCTTTGGGGTTTTCCTTGATCCCACCCGCCAAGGCTGTTTCATACTCACTTCTAGCTCTCTCAAGTCCATTCTTCAGTTCCTTCCTGGCTACCTTGTAGCCCTCTAGAGCCCTTTTACAACATTGTATGGACACTAGAGAAATCATGTTTAGTGGGGACAAAAGTGATAAAGGAACTGAGAGAGGTAAAGAGGTGACATTGGCGGGGAGCTGGGTTAAGTTCGGTGTGCACAGCTTAGCCTTGCCTTTACTCTGTCTTGCTGCCAGGTAGCCTTTTCTGATTCCTGTCTGGTATAACAAACAGGGCAATAAATGGCAAAAGGTTCAAAAAGATTAGTGATCAATTATATTCATCTCTGCTGCCTTCATCTCATGAGCTATGTAGTTCCATTGAAGCAAAACATATCTAGAAATTTGTGAAGATAAAGAAACAATGAACCTTAAAGTTCAACTTGTTAAAACAAGCTGCCACGTGGTAACTTCTATACAACTGAGACGTTCTACCAAAAAGCCAACCTCATACCCAGAGGTAAACTTCTGAAATATGTGGTCATACCAATCTCAGTCATTCAGTCTTTACTAGGTGGCTTATTCTAAGTGCCCTGCAGTTCTGGTTGTTTATACTCCATAAAGCGTCTTTATCAATGTCTTGTCCGATAACACTCGTTCCTCTGGTGCTGCCAATACCATTTTGCCTTCTCAGTGGTATCAGACTCTGTCCATTGGGAGCATTTTCATACCTGAGTCAGAAGATTAGAAATTAATTGACCAAGTCCAGAAATTTGCATATGAATTCAAGGCTGACACAGCCACCCAATATTGAGGGAGTGCTGCATTGTCCAAGGTGCTATTTCGAAGTTTTGTTAAGGCAAAGTCCCATGTGACTTCTGCAGACGGATGTAAAAGATCCCCTGACATCATTCAAAGAAGACCATGGGACCTCTCCCTGATATCCTGGCTGATCTTGATCCCTTGGCCAATATCATGGTCCACTTGTTGTTATTTCCTTCCTGTTGTGGGAGCTTGCAGTGCACAAATTGGCTGCTCTTTAGTGCATTGGTCGCTCCACTTCAAAAATCATTGCCTCTAAAGCACTTTAAGACATCTGAGTTGTGAAAACGATGATATAAATGCAAGGTTCTCCTTATGTTCTCCCTTTATCCTTAACACTACATCCGGTATGAACATAGTGTCAGTGCTACTGTAACTCGACGGTCATCATATTGCTGCCTGATTTCAATTTGAAAAATTGTGAAATATCCCACATTCTGTCCGACCTGTAATTGTATGGAAGTTCTTTTGTAAACGTTAGTGATCTTGTAAAATTAGGATTTCAAAACGCAATAATTCTAATGATTGCACTTGTGATAACTCTATCAATGTAATTTCCATGTTCAAGTTGGGCAGGGATCTGCTATGACTGTGCAAAAAAAAATGTCTTATCTGCACAAAATCTGATAAACCATTTCACCTGTGTTACTCTGCCTCTTTTCCTGAAGTATAATATGAAATGGAAAGTGAATTTGAGATCGGCCATGACCTTATTAAAGGGCAAAGCAGGCTCAAGGGCCTGCTCCTGCTTCTTGTCAGTGTGAACGCATTGAAAATGGTGTGTACTTTCAACTTCCAATCTGTTGCAGGTGAATGCAGGACCATTGGCCTATGCAAGAGCATTCCTGGATGACAGTAAATCAAGTAAGCTGCCAACTAAGAAAGTGAAACAGTTGAAGGAGATATTTCGGTGAGAGAATTAAAACGTTTAGTTTTTTACCAAGATCACTATTTATTCAGTTTTACAAGCAACTCATTGATGTTATGCTTTGTTCAGACACTTAAGCTCTTATTTGTAATTAGAAGAAAATGGATCCTGCACAGGCTTTTGATTGTCACGAGGTCCCTCATTGGGAACTTTATGAATTCTTCCTGTTGTGAAAATTGTTTTCTCTTTATTTCATTAGCGAACAATGAAACTTGTGAACAGTACGTCACATAACCTCCTCAATCAGTTGCTTCATGTCAAGTCTTTACTTCTCCTTCACTCTCTCTTTTTACCTTCCTCTGCCTTCCCCAAACCTTCCCTACTTCCCTCCACTGCATGTTCCCAACTCCCTCCTCCCACCCTCTGCTTCCTTCCCCTCCCCCACCCACCCTTCCCTTTCCCGCTCCCGATTGCCTACCCTCTCCTCTCCTCCTCTTCCCCCTCCTTCCCCTTTCCTCCCTGTTTCCCCCACTTTCCTCTCCCTTTTCCCATTCTCCTCCCCCTTTCAGAAGTGAGCTAACAAGAGTTCAAGGCCAACATGTTCCTGTTAGTTTTAGGGATAAGGCTGGCAGGAGTAGGGAACACTGGATGACTAGAGATATTGGGGCTCTGGAAGGAAGCATAAATCAGGATAGACAACTGGAATCAAATGAATTCCTTAAGGAGTATGGGGTGGAGGAGTACACTTAAGAGGGAAATCAGGAGGGCGAACACGGGACATGAGATATCTTTGGCAAATAAGGTTAAGGAGAATCCAAAGAGATTATACAAGTACATTAAGGGCAAAAGAGTAACTAGGGAGATAATAGAGCCCCTTAAAGATCAATGGGGTCATTATGTCTGGAACCACAGGAGATAGGTGACGTACTAAACGAATATTTCACATCACTATTTACTGTGGAAAAGGACATGGAAGCTGGGCAACTTGGTGAAATAAATACTGATGTCTTCAAAAGAGGCCACATTACAGAAGAGCTGGTGTTGGAGGTCTTACAATGCATAAAGCTTTGATAAATGCCTGGGAGCTGATCAGGTCTTTCCCAGAACTCTGTGGGAAGCTAGCAAAGAAATTGCTGGGCCCCTTGCTGAGATATTTGTCTTATAGCCATGGTGAGGTGCTCTAATACTGGAGGCTGGCTAATGTGGTGCCATTATTTAAGAAAGGCTGCAGGGAAAAGCCATGGAACTACAGACCGGTGAGCCTAATGTAAGTGGTGGGTAAGTTGTTGGAGAGGATTCTGAGAGACAGGAGAGACATGCATTTGGAAAGGGAAGGACTGATTAGGGATAGTCAGCATGGTTTTGTAGGTGGGAAATGCAGAGACCTAGGTAGTGCTGTGAGGACCTTGGTTCAATTCCTGCCATGGAAAATGGTAGAATTTGAAATCAATTTTAAAAATGTCTGGAATTAAGGGTCTACTGATGATCCATTGCAGATTGTCAGAAAAACCCACCTAGTTCACTAATGTTCTTTAGGGAAGGAAAATCTGCTGTCCTTACTGGATCTGGCTTACATGTGACTCCAGACCCACAGCAATGTGGTTAACTTTCAACTGCTCTCTGGGCAATTAGGAATGGACAATAAATGCCGACCTAGCCAGTGACACCCTCATCCCATAAATGAAGGCAGAGCAATAGACATTGTCTACATGGACTTTAGCAAGGTCTTCGACAACATTTTGCATGGTAGACTGGTTATTAAGGTTAGGTCTCATGGGATCCAGGGAGAGCTAGCCAACTGGATACAAAATTGGCTTGATGGTAGGAGACTGAGGATGGTGGTAGAGGATTGTTGTTCAGATTGGAGGCCTATGACCAGTGGTGTGCTGCAAAGTTTGGTGCTGGGTCCACTGTTGTTTTGTCATTTAAATAAACAATTGTGTGAAAATATAGGAGGCATGGCTAGCAAGTTTGCAGATGACACCAAAATTGGAGGTGTAGTGGATAATGAAGAAAGTCATCTCAGTGTACAATGGGATCGTGATCAACTGGGTCAGTGGCCCAAAGAATATCCAATGGAATTTAATTTGGATAAATGCGAGGTTTTGCCTTTTGATCAGACAAACCAGGGCAGGACTTACACCATTGATAGAAGGGCCCTAGCAAATGTGATCAGACAGGGAGACCTAGGGGTGCTGGGACATAGCTCCTTGAAAATGGCGTCGCAGACAGACAGGTATTTCAAGAAGGTATTTGGCATGCTTACCTTCATCAGTCAGAGCATTGAGTACAGGAGTTGGGTTGTCATATTACGGCTTTCCAAGACATTGGTAAGGCCACATTTGGAGTATTGCATACAATTCTGGTTGCCCTGTTATAGGAAAGATATTGTTAAACTGGAAAGGGTGCAAAAAAGATTTACAAAGATATCACCAAAACTGGAGAGTTTGAGTTAAAAGGAGAGACTGAATAGGCTGGGATTTTTATCCCTGGAGCATTGGAGACTGAGGGCTGATTTTTATGGAGGTTTACAAAATCATGAGGGGCATAGATAAGGTGAATATCAAATATATTTTTTCCCTAGGGTGGGGTAGTTCAAAACTAGGGGAGCGTATTTTTATGAAGAGAGGAGAAAGATTTCAAGGGTCCTTGGGGGTGACATTTTCACACAGAGGGTGGTGCATGTATGGAACGAGCTGCCAAAGGAAATGGTAGAGATGGGTACCATTACAACATTTACAAGATATTTGAACAGGTACATGAATAGAAAAGGTTTAGAGGAATATGGGCCAAATGCTGTATGACTCTTTCCCCTCACTTTCTCCTCCCCTTTCCCCCCTCACTCTTCTTTGCCCTTTCCCCCTCACTCTCCCCTCTCTTTTCCCCTTCACTCTTCCCTCCGTTCCCCCTTCCCCTTAATCAATCTCACTTTATGCTGTCATTCCTCTAGTCCTATTCCACTAGAGCAGAAGAAACCAAGAGAAAATCGAAAAGATGTTTTGCAAATCCTAACATATCTTGTAATCTGGCCGTGTTCACTTGATGGCCTTCTATTGAGTAGCAGATGACAGAAACCATCAATTTCAATCCTTCACTGGGAGTGAGCAGCCTGGCTTGGCAAAATTTAATGTACTGTCAGGGGCCTTCAACCTGGAACGTTGGACTACCATGCGTTCTCGAGGCAGAACACATTGCAACTTTCTTGGGAATGAGCTGCCAGAGGCAATGGTGGAGATGGGTACAATTAAAATACTTAAAAGACATCTGGATGGGTACATGAAAAGGAAGAGTTCAGAGGGATATGGGTCAAATGCTGGGAAATGAGACTAGGTCAGATGGGGATGTCTGGTCAGCGTGATTGAGTTAGATTGAAGGATCTGTTTCCATGCTGTATGACTTTATATATAAAGTATTTGAAACAAATGAAGGTGTGGTCTTCAGAGAGAGTTGAGCAGTAATTTGGATTACTCTGGCAATGACTAAGCACAAACAAGATGAATTGATTGGTGTACTCTGAGCTGTGAACATTAATGCTGTCTAAAATCCTGTGTAGAATACTAAAGCAGGTCTTTTTCCTGAATTGCACACAGGGAGTTTGTTTCAGCCTGCAGCCTGGCTCTGGATTTGAATGAGAGGCTGATCAAGGAGGATCAGGTGGAGTATCACGAAGGGTTAAAGGCAAACTTCAAAGACATGGTGAAGAAATTATCAGAAATCACCAATGAACAGGTCAGTGATTCCAGACTTCTGACAGCATGTGACCCAAGTGGACTGCATCCCTTTTGTATAATTTACACTTGCTTTAAACAAGATCTTCAACATTAATAGTCTCAGGGCGGCATGGTGGCTCAGTGGTTAGCACTGCTGCTCACAGCACCAGGAACCTGGGTTTGATTCCAGCTTTGCATGACTGTCTGTGTGGAGTTTGCACATTATCCCCGTGTCTGCGTGGGTTTCTTCTGGGTGCTCCGGTTTCCTCCCACAATCCAAAAACGTGCAGGTTAGGTGGATTGACCATGGTGAATTGTCCAGTGTCCAGGGATGTGCAGGCTAGGTGGATTAGACATGGGAAATGCAGAGTTACAGGGATGGGGTGGGGGAATCTGAGTGGGATGCTCTTTAGAGAGTTGGTCCAGACTTGATAAGCTGAATGTCCTGCTTCCACACTCCAGGGACTGTATGACTGAATTTTTACAGCAGGCCTTATTATAATCTTCAAGGTGTTTAGATAAGATGCAAAGCAAAGCTATCAGAGGAGGGTTCCTCTCTATATGTCCCAGGCTGTTGATGTTACTTATTAACACAATTCTCTCCTCTTATATTGGGATGGATTTTATAGTCACTGGCAAAGGAGCTGCATTGTCTGTTGACTTTGAGTAAAACAACTTTCAATGTTTCAACAGGCTCCAAAATGTGAATTTCTTCTATCCTGATGTCAATTTGAATTTTGCACCTTTTACAGGGGATCTGTAAGGTCCAGCAACAGGGCCACCAGATAACTGGCTGATTAACCCAATAAAATGAAAGAATTCTCACAGATAGTAAAGTAAGGAATAGCACATTTAAATTCCAATACGGAGAGTGCAATAAGGATTGAAGCATAACACGAGGCATTAAGGCAGAAGCTCTAAACGGCAGTGTTCAAGCATTTAAAAAAATTGATTCTTTTATAAACTGTACAACTTAGTTTTGTTCTTTGGTCAAAACTGAGTACCTCCTAAAATTATTTATTTTTTAGCCTCAGTGAGGTTTCTCAGAAACAATTATTATGGAAAAAGCCATCAATACTTGGTTACTCTTGATTGATCAAGGCTCGGCATTTTCATTGGTGGTTGCAGAGAGAGTAATAAGTGATTAAAATCAGGATGTAGATGAAAGAAAAAGCAAGATTAAGAGAGAGTGAGAGTGAGAAAGTGAACTCAGAGCAGAGAAAGTGAGAGAAATCAATGGAGAGAGGCAGAAAGAAAGAAGTCAAGCCGGCTATGAGAAAGAAAGAAGTTAAGATATGTTTCAGAAACTTCTACAGTATGATAATTATAATGAAAATCAGGAAGTGAGAAAAGAGAAAACTATTTTAAGGATGCAGTTTAAGGAACAGGAAACGTTGCAAGCCACAAAATGTGAAGGGACCTGCAATCTTATTGGTGACAGTTCCAAATCTGAGGTTGAACATCCCCAGGAAAATGGGTCGAAAAGGAAGGAAAGAAAGTTTGTAGCAGTGTATCCTTGTTAGTTCTCCAAAATGGGCTTCTCTAGCCTGACACTGCCTGTGTTCCAGGAGTTTCTTTTTTTTTTGCCACCTTTAAGAGCTGGCTACACTGCTGAGGTGTTTTCGCTTTAGCAAAGCTCCATCTTCTCACATGTACGTCGAGTTCCTTGCTATTCGGATAGCTTTCACCACCCTTTTAGGGAGTGCATTCCTAAATATAAAGAAAACTCTCCTCAGCCCATTCCACAAAGAACAAAACAAAGAACAAAGAAAAATACAGCACAGGAACAGGCCCTTCGGCCCTCCAAGCCTGCGCCGATCCAGATCCTCTATCTAAACCTGTCGCCTATTTTCCAAGGATCTGCCCATTCATGTATCTGTCTAGATACATCTTAAATGACGCTATTGTGCCCGCCCCTACCACCTCTGCTGGCAACGCGTTCCAGGCACCCACCACCTCTGCTTAAAGAACTTTCTCCCTGAAACTTTTCCCCTCTCAACTTGAAATCATGACCCCTAGTAATTGAGTCCCCCACTCTGGGAAAAAGCTTCTTGCTATCCACCCTGTCTATACCTCTCATGATTTTGTAGACCTCAATCAGGTCCCCCCTCAACCTCCATCTTTCTAATGTAAATAGTCCTAATCTACTCAACCTCTCTTCAAAGCTAGCGCCCTCCATACCAGGCAACATCCTGGTGAATCTCCTCTGCACCGTCTCCAAAGCATCCACATCCTTTTGGTAATGTGGCGACCAGAACTGTATGCGGTATTCCAAATGTGGTCGAACCAAAGTCCTATACAACTGTAACATGACCTGCCAACTCTTGTACTCAATACTCCGTCGGATGAATGAAAGCATGCCGTATGCCTTCTTGACCACTCTATCGATCTGCGTTGCCACCTTCAGGGTACAACGGACCTGAACACCTAGATCTCTCTGTGCATCAATTTTCCCCAGGGTTTTTCCATTTACCATATAGTTCGCATTTTCCCCAGGGCTTTTCCATTTACCATATAGTTCGCTTCCTTCATTTTTTCACCAGCTCCCTCCCAACAACATTCTGGGAGTCAAACACTGCAGCAGTAATGCAATCAGCTCACCACCACCTTCTCCAAGCCAATGAAGAAAAGCCAATAAGTACTTGCCTAGCCAGCAACACCCACATCCCATGTAATTATGAAAAAAACTTCTGTCTGGTTATTGACCCTGTTAATCTTGTCCATCTTGTTTGACACCCATTATATATGAGTGTAAATTTCCCCGTCAGATATTGAGAAACCTGAAGCCATTGTCTGTAATCCCAGCTCCAAAAGCTCTGTTCCTCAGTCTTGACACCTACCCCGTCCCTAGTAATTGTCTGACAGTGACCCAGACCAGCCTTGGTATCACGTTTGCCTTCATGTTGAACTTTGGGCCACATATCTGTGCCATATCTAAGACTGCCAACTTCTAACTCCATAACAAGGACATGCAGGGATACAGGGATAAGCAGGGAAGAATCCCACCGTGTAAATCGTTCATTTGGAGAGAAGGTGCAGACACAATGGGTTGAATGGCCTCCTCCTACCTTGTAGCAAGCATGCAAGTCTGCTTCATACTCAGTTCATCTGCTCAAACACTCATTTATCCCTTTGTAAATTTCAGTCTTGACTGTTGTAATACTATTCCGTGCTGGCCTCTTATGTTCTACCCACTGTGAACTTGAGTTTATCCAAACTCTCACTAAGTCCCATTCAACCATCACCCCTTTACTCACTGGCTTCCATTTAAGGAAAGCTCAAATTTTAAATTTTCATGCTGATTTTCAAATTTGACCTTCGCATTATCTTTCTTAGTTCTTTTGTACCTTCCACAGCCCTTCAAGACACTGTGCTCCTCTAATTCTTCACCATTATGATTTTAATCGCTCCAATGTTGTTAGCCTTACCCTCAGCTGCCACAGACCTAAGCTGTGAAAGTCACTGCCTAAATGTCTTGAACAAAACAAACGTCACAGAATTCTTAAGGTGCAGATGGAGGCCATTCAGCCCGTTGAGTCTGTACTGACCCTTTGAAGACGGTCCCACCCAGATAAGCCTCCGCCAGAGTCACTCATTAATGCAGAAATTGGTGGGGGGGGGTAGAGTTTCTGATTTCAGAAGGTAGTCAATATGTGATTTTCTTTTACTGCAGAGGGCTGTCAATGCTAAGAATATGTAAGGCTGAGATGCACTGATTTGTAGTCAGTAAGGGAATCAAGGGTTATGGGGGAAATAGTAGGAAAGTGGAACTTGGGATAATCAAATCAGCTTATTGAATGGCTGAGCAAATGGGCTGAATGGTCTACTTCTCTTTTGTCTTACTAAATGACTTCAGTGAGCCAGATTTTTTTAATCAAACAAAAAGTGATTGATTCAGTGTTGCTATCACTTTTATTTCCAGATTTATTAATTGGATTTCATTTCCACCAGCTGCTAAAGTGGGATTTAGACCAGCATTCCTGGCCTATGAGCCTGGGTCTCTGAATTTATAGTCCAGTGACATTAGCACAATGCCACCATTCTCCCCGTGTAGATATTTTTGAATCAACCGGTTCAGAGATGATATTTTACCCCTCAGAAGCAGCTGGGACTTGAACCTGGGCCTCCTGGCACAGAGATGGGGATGCTAGCACTAAATCACAAGAGTATGTTTGTTTAAACCCTGAGCTGTTAAGGGTGGATTGTGGCAATGCAAAGCAGTTGCTGATTAATGGATTGTTGCTGAAATCCCCTGCTCCCTGAACAATAGCCTTACAAATAAAGCATGCACCTTTGCATCTAGCTCAGTCTGTGCACTGTACGTTGATCTGATGACAGTATTGTATTTGTTCAGTGAAACTGGTTGCTATGAAAAAAATTATTCCCAAATATTTACCTGGCCCATTTTATGTAATGTGCATTGCATGTTTAAAAGAAAACTCAAAATGTATCGAAACAAACCCTGACATTTAAACCAGGCTGATGAGCCAAGAAATTAATAATTACAAACTTGAATTAACAAACAATGACGTGGGTCTCGAAGCATCAAGTCTGTGATTTGCTAAAGGTAGCTTGAGGACATCTTTTAATTAGTTGTGATGGAGATGGAGACATCACTATGCAGTTGGCATTTGTTGCTCATCCCTTGTTGCTTTTGAAAAGGTGGTGGTGAACTGCCTTATTAAAGTCCATGTGCTGTAGGTACAGCCAAATTGCTGTTAGGGAGCATGTTCCATTATGTTAACTCAATGCTGAGGAAGAAAGCGAGATGTACATACAAATCAAGATTACTTGCAACTTTGAGGGAAACTTAACCTGTGGCGGTTCCCCAACATTTCTGGTCTTGAGGAAGATTGAGAAAAAGAGAGAGAGAGAGAAGTGCTGTCGGTTAATGTAGTTGGGCTCACCAGCAGTGAAGGCAGTTTCACAAACTGGTTTGTCTCGGATCATGACAAACTTTCTCCTGACTTCACCCATTGAGATGTGCGGGGAGTACATTGTGACCGCCTCAGTTTCGACCTGCCAGACAATAGGAGAAAGTTATGAGGGGTCAGAAAGTGTGCCATTTAGCCTCTCTGCTGTTCTTTGAGCCAAAGTGTTGACTGAGCTGGTCCAGTTAAACATCTGGGATGTGATAATCCTCATTCCATTCCCCACTGTTAATAATTTTGGTGTGAGGCTGCAGTACAGTTTGTAAAAAAAACATTTTATGTCCTGGGACTTATCTTACTGAAGAAGGCCATTTTCTCCAACTTAATCACAGAAAGGTAGGTGGCAAATATGTGCTTTTCCTTTAGGATTCATAGGAATGTATCTATTCAATGTGTTCTGAAATATCCATTTAATTGCAGCTCTATTGTCCTATGTTGTACCCTAATCTAATTTTCAAGACCACTTTAGCCAGTTCCACTTTCAAGACTTTATAACTGCCCTCTCTTTCTCTCAAACTGAATGCACAATTCAATCAAATTATGAGTGCTGTTATCTGATAGGGTGTTTTCATTATTAAATTATTAGTTCATCCTAACTCATGGTTGAGTATTAAACTCAGCTGCTTTCAAGCCTTCACTTGGCTCAGTTGTTGTCAATAGTGTTGGAAACATGCAGTCCAGTTGGCTGCAGAACATGCTTTTCTCAGAGACTGTGCTGATTATTCTGCAAATTTGTCATCTAGACTAACTTTGCCATGTGATTTTCTTCTGTCTATTTGGCAACTAATCACTCCCAGATTTATCAGTGTGCGTTTTTGGCAGGTTCCCATTATTTCTTAAACAAAAAGAAGCAAGAATTGCAGATGCTGGAAATCTGAAACAAAGACAGAAATTGCTGCAAACTTCCATTCTAAAGAAGGGTCACCAGACCCGAAATTTTAACTCTGCTTTCAGATGCTGCCAGACCTGCTGAGATTTTCTAGAAATTTCAGGTTTTGTTCCCCACCATTTCTTCCATCTGTCCTACAATGTAGACATGAGAAAAAGTTAGAAATGTGATAAACAGGAGCAAGAAATGCTGAAAATATCTGCTGCGGCATGTTTCTCTGTCGTCTTGGGATTTAACTTACACATGGCAGTTGTTGGTGTGTTGGCTCTATATATCCAAAGGCAGAAATACCAAAAATTAGTTTCCTTGTGTGCATTCAAATGAACATGTCACATAGCACTAGCTGGCAAGATGTCAGGGAGTATGAGTAAACTGTGAATTGTAGACAGCTTGAGCTCGCTTTGAATTAGCAGAGGATATTGATTTAATAAGAGCCACTTGAAATAAGGATCTGTCCAAAATTTAAAACTCTTTAAGGGAGATGGGGAAAAAGACAGTTGAAGACAAACTGCATTCAAGAATTGTGTATGGTGCAATGGTAGGGGTAATCGTAGCTGAGGTGCACATCACCCACATCTATTTGCATGGTAGAACCAGACTTGTAAGGCTGAATGGTCTATCTCTATTTCTGGAGCTTTGTATTTGCACAGAGCATTTTCAACGATCATTAAGTGTACTTGATAGCCTTTACATTCTTTGTTCAACTGAGTCCAGTGGGTGATGTTGACTAACCTTTTACTCTCTCTGTTTCATGCTTGCTTTGAAGTGCTGAAGATTTGATGGGTAAATGCACACCAGAGTTTATGGTTCAAAACTAAATGTGACTTGATGTAAAATCTTGGTCTAGATGGAGGCAGATTTGGACTCACACTGCCTGTGTGATCTATCTGTCCACAGATGGAAAGCTTTGAGTTTTGTGCATCTGGATTCTTGATTGATAGATGTTGTCCACAGCTTCAACTCCTCAAAGTAGCAAGAATTTAGCAATCTGTCCTCAAATGTGCAGCTGTCCACACCTCCGCCCTCAAGATTTGCCCTTTCCTAGCTAGTCCTGACCTTACACCTAACCCTAACTCTGAACTATTCCAGCATTCCCTCATTGGAATAAAATACCTCTGTACCTGCATGTGTGTGTCACCCTTCCAGCAAGTAACGTGAAGGGTGCTGAGCATTGAGCGTATGTTCAGCAGCTCCTAAGAGCAAGTTCTGAGGTCCAGGTAGGCAATGGTTCCTTTCAGCACAAGTCCCAAGATTCATATCAAATTGGCCTGGAGCCTCAATTTATAATTTGGTTCAAGTCACAGTTAAATCTAAGTGGTGGCTCAGTGGTTAGCAGTGCTGCCTCACGGTGCCAGGGACCTGGGTTCAGTTCCACCCTCGGGTGACTGTTGGTGTGGGGTTTGCACATTCTCCCCGTGTCTGTGTGGGTTTCCTCCAGGTGCTCCAGTTACCTCCCACAGTCCAAAGATGAACATGCTAAATTAATCATATTGCCCACAGATGTGCAGTTTATGTGGATTAGCCATGGGAAATGTGGAGTTAGGGGAATAGGGGTGTGCTGTTCAGAGGGTCAGTGCAGACTGGATGGGCCAAATACTCCTAGCTGCACTGTAGGGATTCTCTGACCATCCTAATCCTTGCCCCATGTGAACAATTCATTTGAGAGCCAAATGTTGCTTGAAATCTGAGATATAAACTTTATAAGTTGTGTGTGTAAGTTTTTCAATACTCTTGCTCGGTTTGCAATATTTACTCCATCCTGAGTAACCGCAAATTATTTTCCTTTTTACCTCTTCCCTTCCTCAAGGTTTTGACAGAAGATGACTTGAAGTGCCAACTGAGGAGCTCTCTGCATGTTTTCAGCGCCATTAGTGGCACGGCTAGTGGTCCTTCTGCCTTTCCTGCGTCACTTTGACACACCATACTGTGGGGGGAGGGCAACGGGAGCTAGGTGAGGGTGTGGGGAAGGGCACATGACTGTTCATTGGTTCTCAGGAAGGTCTCTCCAGCCCTGGGGAATGAGGGGAGAAACTGTAATCTCTGGCTGACGGATGTTGTAAAGCAGGAGAATGAGTTCTATCCAGTCACAGCGAGATGGCTGATTCCAGTGATGGCTCAACCCTCTTCCAGAGTGAGCTCAACCTCTCAGAAACATTTGGAGAAGGGTGTTCATCTGGCAACAAAGCTTGCTTGGCAGTGCAACTCCTGCATTCCAATCAGTATTACTATGATCAGCTTGGCTGCCTGCCTAGAACATTTGATACACCGTTTCCTAAATTTGATAAACATTGAATGATTTGAAAAGCCAAGTCTTGTGTTAAAACTGTGCTTCCACATTGCAAATCCTTCACCACCTGTACAATATGTATGTGTATAAAAAAGGAACCGTTCGTTGTGGCTCTGTGCATTGTCATCTCAAAGTGTTGTAAATTTAAATTGTAACGACAAGTAGCGTTCCACCGCGACTGCTTGTGTACAAAAGATATCCTTAAATATACAGGACTTTTTTAAAAAGTTCACATAGAATTTTCTTTCTCTGTGGTGTGGGTGGTGGGAGGGATGGGCACTTATATTACAAATGGAAATTCAGACCACTAACTCAGTTTCAGACTGAGGCTTCCTTGATGTTGAGTGTCGACCGTGCTGCTTTCAGGCCTTCATGGGGTTTAGCTGACGTCAGTGATGTTAGGGAACTTGCCTGAAGGTTCCTAGTTTCCTGACACAGGTTATCCAATCCACAAAGCAGTATTCTCCAGGTCAGTCTCCATTTATCTCTATGACTCTATAATCTCACCCTAGGTGGAGGAGAAATGTTGAAGTCAATGAGTGATGTTACTCTTCAAGCTACAGTGGAGGTAGTTACAACTGTCAGGGCCACATCCTCCCAGTATATAAAATAACTGCCCACATTACTGATTCCTTGGAAGACCATACCTACAATGCTCCCTTTTTCTTTAGGGTGAATAAGTAAGGTAAGCTCCAAAGTTACATGTTGCTATTTTAAGGTTTTTGCAAAGATTTGTAGCACAGGTTGTGGGTGAGGTTGTTGATTTGCTCGCCGAGCTGGCTTACTTTCGTTCAGACATTTCATCACCATGCTAGGTAACGGACCAGACAGTATAAATTCCAAGTAGAATAGAACAACGTCGCTTCATCGGAGGCCTCACTGATGATGTTACCGAGCATGGTGACGAAACGTCTGAACGAAAACAAGCCAGCTCGGCGAGCAAGTCAACAGACTCGTTGCTACTTTCTAGTACAAGGGAACCGTTGTTAAAATAGTACACTGAGATTATTCATATCCAGCAGGGCATATTGGCCCCAATTTAAAGTCTCATCTGAAAAATGGCACCTTCAACAATGCTGCACTTACTCAATACTGCACTAGATTGTCAACTGCTACTCTCTCTAGAGTGAGATTTAAACTTCTGATTTAGAGGCAAGGTTGGTATGACTGACTGAGCCACAGCTGATGCTGAGAAATCTGACAACTTTTTCCTTCCTTCCTTTTATTCCCCATCATCCTAGGCCCAGAATCCTGAGACCAAGGTATGGCACTCCCATTGCTGCCTAAAGGAAAATCTGAATGCAACACAGAACAAGAATTAACCTGGTGCCTTCTGCTCTGTGCGTGGCACAGTGCTAATAGGCCTTTAATTTGCTGTTTGGTTAATGTTTGCTTGCAATAAGCACAGTGGACATTCCCCTGTGGTTATGCAATTAACAGTGAATTGTCCTTATGTGGAGCCACAACACAAGACAGCGCCTCTTCAAAATGCAGATGGGAAGGGGGTGATTTTTGCAATCAAGGCAGGAAATTCACCGATTCAACAGACTTGTCTCCTTTAGAAAGGGCCTCCAGCAGCCATATGTTCATTCTGGGGAGGTGGGGGTGAGTTGGGAGTGGCACATGGTGGCTTGCAAGTGAGCAAGTGCTGGGATGTACTGACCGGTTCTCTGGGACCTCACTTCAGTTGTGTTAAAGGTTGCTGGCCCTCTAGGTCTTACCCTACCCAAGCCCTCGCCCTTCTCCCCCCATGTGCCCACTCCAGATCAATGCCGAGCTACTCCATTATTGAGTCTCGGAGCTCAGCCTAGCCAACATGGTGAGGCCATCTTTGAGCTGTATAAAACAGAAAGAGATGAACAGACATTTTATCCTTATCGTGAATGCTCTACTGGTCTTTAAAACTCACTCATGGTTTGGCTTAGCAGGGGTCTGTGTTCACAAGCAGAACTGGAGTGTTTGTTTTGATTGACTGACTGCATGACCGAAGATAGATTTTCAGACCAACTGTCAAAATCTGTATTCTATACCTTGACATGAAAGATTGTATTCCTTTCATTGTTGAAAGCTATTGCTCAGTGAGAATGGTAGATGCCACACTTCCAAAAGATTAGATTTAGACTTTATTGTCACGTGTACTCAAGTACAGAAATATAGGAGTACAGTGAAAAGTGTCTAATGTCACCACATATGGTGCCATCTTAGGTACAAAGGTACCTAGACACAAAAGGTCAAGTACAAAGTAGTAAAAGAAACAAAGTTAAAAAGTTAAACATTTCAGACCCTCATTGAATAAGTAGAAAAATGAAGAAATAAGGTAATAGTTAACATTAAAGTCCTTCTTAAACTAAACTAGAAAAATAAAGGAATAAAGTTAAAAGTTTAGCAGCCTTTGAGTGCTTAGCCATGCTGGGCCCCAATCTCCTCCACTTAGCTCATTCACCAAGAGACCTGAGCTGCCTGTTTCCAACGCCGCTGCAGTTACCAGGGGACCTCCCTCACGGACGATATAGACAGGCTGGTCAGATGGGCTGATCTTTATGGTGCTTAGTGTGGCGGCAGCTTCCCACGATCCTTCGCTCTCAGGATCTGAGTTAACAGCCGCCATCTTCAACAGGAGTTGGTCAACAGCACGACACAGGAGCAAAGTGTTTAAAAAGTAAATGAAATCCCGGAGCACACAGTAACATTACAAAAGGGGACAGACCACTCAACTTCTCAAGAGATAGTAGGAACTGCAGATGCTGGAGAATCTGAGGTAACAAGGTGTAGAGCTGGATGAACACAGCAGGCCAAGCAGCATCAGATGAGCAGGAAAGCTTACGTTTCGGGCCTAGACCCTTCTTCAGAAATGAAGATTCAAAAGATTTCTCTCATTCAACTTCTCAAGTCTGCTTAACCTTTCCAGAAGATCACGGCTGAACTGTCCCTCATTCCAGTTTCCCACATTTCTACCCTGCGTCTGAATATTCTTGCCCAAAATAAAATCTATCAATCTCAGTCTTAAAGGTTCCTGTTATTCTCCTCCTATGTTTCCGCTACACATTAAGTGAAACAGTACTTCCTAATTTCAAAACAAAAGCAAACTACTGTTGGATGGTGGAAATACTCAGCTAGATTCAGCAGGAGCGAGTCAGAGGGAATCTTTTATTGTGATATCTAACTTTCTGATTTCAGAACTGAGTGACTTCTTGCTGATGTTAAGACCGTGTCCCCATTGGTTTTCCAGCAGATGACCTAGCTTCACTGGCCAAGCTGTTCCAGTACTACATGACAACATAGAAAGTTTCCCAGGTATTTCCTGTACACAAAAAAGCACAATCCAAGCTGGCCAATTACTGCCCCATCGGTGAACTCTCAATTATCTGTAAAATGGCGGAGAGTGTATTAACAGAGCTGCCTATAAGCACTTACTCATCAATAAACTGCTCACTGATGTACAGTGTGATTCCTCCAGGGCCATGATCTCATGCCCTTATTATAGCCTTGGTCCAAGTAAGGACAAAAGAAGTGAACTGAAGAGGACAAGTCAGAATGGCTGCGCTTGACATCAAGGCTACATCTGCCTAGGTATGGCATTAAGTGGAGTTATACAGCACAGAAATAGACCCTTCAGTCCAACCTGTCCACACAGACTGGTCATTCCAATCTGACCTAGTCCTTTTTGCAGTATTTGGCCCATATCCCTTTAAACTGTTACTATATATTTACCCATCCAGATGCCTTTTAAATGGTGTAATTGTACCCGCCTCCACCATTTCTTCCGGTAGCACCACTTTCTGCATGAAAACATTACCCCTCAGGTCCTTGTTAAATTTTTCCCCTTTCACCTATGTCCTCTAGTTTTGAGCTCACCCACCTTAGGATAAAGACCTTGGCTATTCACACTATCCATGCCCCTCGTGATTTTATAAACCCCTATAAACTCACCCCTCAGCCTCCGATACTCCAGGGGAAAAAGGCCCCAGCCGAGTCAGCATCTCCTGAGAGCTCAAATCCTCCAGTCTCAGCAACATCCTTGTAAATCTTTTCTGCACTCTCTCAAGTTCAACAACATCCTGTAGAAGGGCAACCAGAATTGTACACAGCATAACTTACGCTGTGTGATATTATCAATGTTAAAAGCTGTGGCAAAACTAAATTCCATGGCAGAGGAAAATACTTCACTGGTTGGAGTCATACATAGCATGTGGGAAGATGGTTGTGGTAATTGGAGCCCCAGGACATTTGTGCAAGAGTTCCTCAAAGTAGTGTCCTAGGCCCAACCATCTTCAGCTTTTCATTACTGACCTTCACTTAGTTGAAAGATCAGATATGATAACATTTGCTGATGACTGTTCAGTACTATCTCTGAGTCCACAGATTCTGAAGCAATAGGTAGCCTGTATGTAGCAAGACTGGATTTGCATTCAAACTGAGGTTGCTAAACAAAAAATAATATTTTCAACAGACAAGTTCCAGGAATTGACTATCGCCAACACAAGAGAATATGATCATCTTCCCTGACATTAATGGCATTACTACTTCCATATCACTATCAACATCCTGGGAATGCCACTGCCTAGAAACTGAACTGGACCAGGCATATAAATACAGTGATTGCAAGAACAGGTTAGAGGCTAGGAATTCCATAACGAGTAATTCACCTCCTGACTCCTATTGTCCGTCCACCATACATGACATCAATCAGAAGTGTGATGAAATACTGCTGACTTACCTGAATTAATGCAACTCCAGAAACACAAGAAGCTTGATGCCATCCAAGACAAAGCCCATTTGATTGGCACCCCATCCACAAGCATTTGCTTCTGCCACTTAGTGAGGTAAGGTCACCATGGTTTGAGTGGGCTGTTTTCTCATTAAAGAGAAACAAATGGTGATAATTAACCTGAGGGTCACCATACACCAAATGAAGTTGAGAAGGTGGGAGCTTCACGGTAACCTCAACTGATGCAGAAATCGAGCCCAAGCTGTTGGCATCACTCCTCATCGCAAGCCAACCGTTCAGCCAACACAGTTAGCAGTAATGCATACCATACAAGGTACACTGCAGCAATTCGCTAAGCTACTTTCAACTGTATGTTCCAATAACCTCTACCATTTAAAAGGAACAAGAATGGCAGCTATGTGGGAACACCACCATCTCCAAGTTCTCCTCCAATCTATACACCATCTTGACTTGGAACAGCATTGTTGTTCTTTCATTGTCTCTGGGTCACAATCTTGGACT